GGTTTCCTTCATACACTTCGTGTGGGTGTTGCTTAATACATTAATCTTTTGTTCAGCAGAGTTTCCACGCACCTTTAATATTCACTTGTAAAACCTGTAATTTCTTTTAAACTTATATATTTCAAATGAATACTTTGTCTTCATTATTGCTTCCTGTGTGGGAAATTGCTTTAACTGCTTTCAGTTTTCCTTTTCTCCTGATCTCATTAGGTTTCCACTGTTGAAAGCACTGGGAAGTGCCTGACCTGTGTTTGTGTAAAAATTGATCTATTGTGCCTGATGATAGAACTGTCTGGTGACTGGCCCCCGGTAACTGCGTGAACAAAGAAGATCTTAGGCTCAAAAGGCATGAAAGCTTGTGACCCTTTAAAATACCACTTTGTGGCTTTGATATTCCTTGGTCATGGACTTTCTCCTCTTGGAGAACTAGAAAATTCAGGTGCTGTAGCTGTGACCCAAATGGGGGGAAGAGCAAGCTGTGTGCACCTGGCCTGGGGGTGATGGTAGCACGCAAGGTGCTGAAGCTCCCTTGTCTGGGTAAATCCACTCTGCTGAGAGCTTTCATACGTTTGTGTTGGTAGGAAAGTAAATCAACAAATACTTTTATTATTCACTATGCACTCTGTTGACTCTTTCTGCATGAAATAACTCTAATGGATTTTTTCTTTTTTTTTTTCTTTTTTTTTTTCTTTTTTTTTTTGGAAGGCAGTGATTCCTGGTGGTTAGAAGGGCATTTAAAAAATTGAGGTTGTTTTATGTTGTGGTTGGGTGTGTAAGATCCACTTTGTGTGTGTGTATGTACAACTAAAGAGCTTTCCTTTCATGTAAAGATTATTATTTATGTGCCTTGAAATATTTTAGAAGGCCTGCGTGTGCTGAAATGAATAGTAAACTTCCATTTAAGTCTGTAGCAGCAAAGCTGGGCTCAAAATTGAAATCTTGCTTTATATAGTCAATGTGCAAAGCAATGTGTAAAGTTTCAGAAAGTAAATAGTAGTCTTTAGTTTTCATCAGCTTGTTTGTGACCTAGCTATGTAAACAGCTGTGTTTAGACTTCTGCATTATGAATATTTTTTTTCTGGAGTTGTAAAATGTGCCTGTTATTAATAAACAGAAATGACTGCAGTAATGCTTTGATAGCACTTTTGAGGTCTATCAGCTAATAATACGCAGCTTTAGCTTAGTCTTCTAAATGCTGTATATGCCTGTGAAATGCATACAAGCCTTATCAATGTCATTGTATTGAGTCTTTTTTAGTAAGTGCTTTAATAAAATAGGTTTTAAGTGACAGCTTTAACCTGTTAAATGAAAAGCCTGAATTTCAGAAGTCGATATTTCTTGACATAAACACAGCAGATTTTTTCTTTTTTTCCCCTCCACTTTTTTTTTCTTTCCTCATTTTTTGAGTGGAGCTGAGAAAACTAAAAGGACACCATATCGTAAAAAAAAAATAATAAAAATAAAACATTAACATTGTATTAATAATGTAATTGTTTCAATATCCACTGAATAACTTGTGTAGAGTGACCTGCCTGTGTGAAGGCAGAATTAACTTGTTTTCTAAATTAGGAACTGAACCACAGAGTAGCCTGATGATGAACTGAGGTTTACACAGGGTCTTGGTAGCAGGGTAGGGACTACAGTGAAGTATGAAGTACTAACCACCCTTCCATGCCTCTGTCCAGTCTTAATTTGTTTTTTATATGAATGCTGCGTGCCAAGTAAAACTTGTGTATTTTCACTTGTCTGCTTTCATTTGAATGACTGCAGTGCTTGTGAACCTTGAATAACTGATAGACTTCATTGGCTTACATAAATGCACCTGACACACAACAGCTAGTGAAGTCTATTTTAATTGTCATAAAAGATACATGAAGTATTGCAAGATGAATGTTCCTCTCTTCTGTAAATTTTTATATTCAAGACAGTAAAATGTGACATTAAATAGACATGAGTTTTTAGCAAAGCTGGAAAATAAAAGCTTCAACTGACAGCATTTCCATTGCAGTACTTTTATGTGGGAGGAATACGCATCAAGACATTTTCTGACTAAAAACACACTTAAGAATAAGGGTGATAAATTGCAGATCACCACTTTTTATGGTAAGTGCATTTATTCTTGTATTCTAGTGTTGAGCTGAATTGAAAGAAAGTGTGTGTTGTCCATCCTTGTTCCAAACACACTTTGATTGTGTTTTGGACCTTTTACCTTCAGAGACAGACCTAAATACTTTATGAGAAAGTAAATTGAAATGGCAGCCATGAGCCTTGAGTTGTGCATGCTGTATCCTTTTACTTATCCTCTTGCTTATCCTTTAAGCAAAGGAAAAATAGTTATGGGAACACTATGATACTAAAGCTATTCAAAATTTATCACCAAAACACTCCACAACCTGCTATTCTGCCCTTGCCCTACAACTACAGAGCCAACTCACAGACATAATTTTAATTAACTATATTTTATTTATATTTATAGGTCACGTGAGAGTACATAGAAGTGACAACTGTGCAGGAGGGATTGGGCAGTAGGTTGAAAATGACAGCAGAAAGCATTTTTTCCCCTGGCAGTCAGCTCTGTTAGAACAAACATTTCAACAAGTTTGACTGCAGTACCAGCACGTTTTATTTTCTTTCCTAAATGAAGGTGGTAGTTGGACCAGAAGGCTGCACATTTTAATTTTGCTCTCCCCCTCAATCTTTGCAAAGAACATTATTTACATGTTAATCTGCAATGTGATTACAGTAAAGCAACTACATCCTGGTGCTGAAGAAGCAAAATGGGGATGCTTTACAACTTTCTATTGTAATAAGTGTTCTTATTTAACAGACATTCATCTGAGCAAGAGATGGAAGGGGCCAGAGCCATGCCATGCTCCTGTGTGTGCGAAGTGGAGCAAGACAGAAAGGAAGCCACCTTGCCTGTATAAGCTGCGAGAGAACCACTCTGCTTGTTAGGGCTTATATCAGTTTAGCAAACTGCTTTCTGTGGTTTGCTTTTTTTTGTGTGCGTATGTGTGTGTAAATTCCACTTAATTATCTAACACTAACTTCTGAAAGGTGCCTCCTCTGTTGTTTTATCTAGAATATCAGCAAAATATTTGTGGTGGTCTCTTCTCAGCATGTAGAAAACCCTGAGCAGAAAAAAATCCATAGCCAAGACTGTTGCTGCTGAAATTTTAATGCAAAATAAGTTAATGGATGTGAAAGCACAGGAAGAAACACAAGAGTACTGCCTTGCCCAACTATTTTTCGTTTGGATGGGGTGGATGGGTGAATATTATGTTCATTTCAAACAATATGCTCTTTCCTGTAACTGCTTGTTTATTGTAAGCAGCACGCCCCTGAGTGATGTCTGTTGGTGTGAGTGGTGCCATCTGGAAAACAGGCTTCTGACTTGTTTAGAGTTCAGTCCTGTTGGTTATATATCAGGGCGAGGAGATTAAGTGGTTAATTTTGCTGGGATGGTGTTTGCCTAGTTTACAATAATATTTTTACAGTTTTCTGAAAAGACCGAGTACTAAATGAAACTTATTTTTCATTGTGTGCCTTGTTTAGCCAGACAACATGTTATAATCTGGCATTAGTATTTTTCCAAGTGGAGCTTGGCAGGCAGAACTGTGGCATGGTGAAGGAGAAAACTTACTTCGCGGTTTGCTCTTGTTAAAATACATCCATTTTAATGAAAGCGTTGGCTTGTAGCCTGTTCTTGTTTGGAAATAGTCCCAGTACCAGGGATGTTAAAGAATGTAAGTAGCCCTATTCTTTGGGAGATTATTTGGAATCGGGTTTATTTCTTCCTTCCTCCCACCTTTTGAAAAAGAGCTGATACTAAATAGCACCTCAGCTAGCGGGGCTGCTTACCAGCTTCTCGCGCTGTTGCTGCCCAAATTAGGGAGAGGCTGAAATTTGTGACTTTGAGCGGATGCCAGACAGCGTCTCTCAGTTGGTTCCCTACATTTGGAAACGGCTTCTGTTCTCATTCCTGTACTTTCTTGTGCTGACTGCCCTTGGTACATAGCTACTGAGTGTCATGATGGGTTCGGTGGGCTTGCGGGGTAATGTGGTATGTATGGGTCAAGCTTTGGCACTTGATCAATTTGGACCTTCCTTTCTACCTACTGTTTTAGGTTGACCGGTAGAGCTGTGATTCTGAATGAGTGTCTGTTGTCCTTTCTTACACTGACTCCACTTGTAGCATACAAGTTGTATTCATTTTCCTCTGTAAATTTCTTCCAAACTAATTTATGAGAAGTCATCTCATATAAAGTAGCAATTCTGGCCTTTGTCAGCTTTTCCATTAAGGTTATTCTTCATTGATCCAGTAGCACGCAGCATGATGTTGTTTACAAACACTGGATGTCAGATAAAGCTCTCAAGATTTTTCTTTATGTTTGACTGATGGAGCAATGTGATGCTTTTGAAGAAAAAAAATGGTGATGTCTGTATGTGTACATTAGATAGGAAAGGAGAAAAAATTAGGTGCAAGTGTGGAATTGGACACAAAGCAGTGGAGTTTATAACAGTGTAATCATTGTTAGTTTCTGTGTACTCCAGAGGCTGAGGAGCTGAACTTTCAAATATACTGGACTTCTTTTAAAGGCTTGGTTAATTTTTTCAGAACTCTTGGCTACTAAGTAAGTCTGCCAGGTGAAAGACTCAAGTGCTTTCAAGAATAAAAATAGTAATAGTACAAAAGCTGATCCATACTGTATGTTTTACATGTGCTCATATTTATCATAATGAATATTCTTCTATTGAGAAATTCTGCGAAAGTAAATGAGAAGCTGTGTCATCCTGTGGCAGGTACCAAATAACAAGTAACGGTGAATATGCTGGAGTACAACGCTGAGATGAGTGTAAATACTGTGATGAGAATTCATTTCTTCTGTTCTTGCGAAACACTCGTATTTTTTATAATTCTTCAACCACATACAGCAATGATTTATAAATACTTTCAAATATTGCTAGTAAACAATTTTCTTTATCACATGAATTTACAGAGGCCATGAAGGAAGAACCTGAAGTGCTCTTTGAGGAACTTCTTGAGAGGGCCAAAGCTGGAGAACCAAAAGCACAGACAGAGGTAATGTTATGTGTTCTTTGTCCAGTCTTGTTTGCTCTTAATTCCAAAAATAGCACTGCCTGCTGTAGAACTGTTGTCTCTTCTTTAGTTGAACTGTATCTGTCTTGGTCTTGAACTGTTCAAAGAAAGGTGATGCCAGATGGTTTTTCTGCCTTGAGAAATGCTGCCTGCTTGGGAGTGTTACTGGTTTCAGGTCCAAATCTTGAGTAAACTTTTAGGACACATATGAAAAAGGGAAGGATAGGCTGAGAGCACAGAGAAGGTACAGAACTGCTTTTGCCTTTTTTTTTTTTTTTTTTTTTTTTAAATTTTTAAAATGTGGCGAAGAGTTTTTTTGGGATGTGGAATGGTGCAGACAGGGACTATTAAATGCTGTTTGGGTTTAATTTTGCCATTGGAACAGAACTAAGTGCTCATCTAAATGAGTTATCTAAGCTTGGACTGTTGGGTCAGCCCTTCCCTCTCTACAAAGACAGCAGGACTCTTAGGCTGGACTCTGTGTAAGAAACTGCCATTGAGGTGCTTTAGCAGGAACGGAGGTTGATTGACGTTTTGCACTTACACCATTTCTCTGTTGAATTCATGGAATGGTTTGGTTCGGAAGGGACTTTATAGATCATCTGATTCCAACCCCCCTGCCATGGGCAGGGACACCTTCCACTAGACCAGGTTGCTCAAAGCTCTGTCCAGCCTGGCCTTGAACACTGCCAGGGAGGGGGCAGCCACAGCCTCTCTGGGCAACCTGTTAACATATTTTAGAAAAGAAGCCTCTCCTCCTTTATTGAAATTAGCTATGTTTAGCTGTGTAATGGCAGATAGAATTGAATTAATACTGGCAGTTCTGTCCCTGTATGTGTTAGCACTTTAGGTGTCCCTTAGGTTTTAGAAAAATTGTACGAGTTTTCTGCTGCGTTCCATTGTTTGGTGTATGGTCTAACTGGTCTAGTATAAATAGCTTAGAATTGTTTAGAAATGTTTTAATTTGTGGTGAATTTGGGTAGAGTTTTACTTGAGCATTATTTTGCAGCTTCAGCTTTGATGGAAAAAGCGAGTAGTTAGTCTGCTACATGCTCACTGGTGGTTTGGTTTTTTTTCCCCAAGGATCACTACTCTTTTTGCAAATAAAAATAAAAAGGTCAGGATGGGAAAGAAATCCTTTTAAAGCTTGTAAAAAATACAGCAATGCCAGGCTCGCTCCACACTTCACCTCAGCTTGTTTGAGGGACAGGCTGTCCTTGGAGTTGTAACCCAAGACAGGAACAAATTCCTCACCTTTGAAACAGCCGACGGCTTTGCGGAGGATGAAGTTTTAGCATTGACAGGATTGCTGCTGTAAAATCCACATTTGGCTCTATTCTTCCACACGAAAGAAAGCAAACCCCATAAATACTCTGTCAGGATATAACTTCCAGTTGAGTAAGAAATACCTTATGTAATCCAAGCCTATGATGTTTGCATATGTTTGTATATAAAGAACATTTTTTTCTCTCTCAATTTTTTCCACTTTCTTTCCCTTTCTTTAGTTCTTTAGCTGTGTACACTTTCTATTCCCACACAATAATAGGATTCTTGTCGTAAAGAGATCCAGCATACAATTTTGCTTCAGTATTCACTCAGGATGAATTGACTGTGTGAAAAGGAAACCCTAAATACAGTCGTTTCTCTTCTGTGCAATCAAATTTCTTGTGACTTGTGGAAAGAGAATTAATTTTAGTTTTTAAAACCCTAAAAAATATATATTCTTTATTGTTGAGTATGCCCCTTTAGAATCAGTTAGAAAAATCCATTTATTTTTCTTACCTTTGTAGGTGTATGAATGAGAAGAAGCTGAGATGGCACCGTTGTGCTGTTTGCTAATAATTACAGAGTCAAACACAGGAAATCGCTTGGTTCACTGGCTTGCAGTTGTTACTATGAGTTTATTCAAAAATAACCCTGCAATGACTATGGAAATAAATGCACTCTGAGTAGCTGTCAACCTGTATTACCATAGCTTTATGTAGTTTCTTTATTGCGAAGTAACTGTACAGCAGTTGTGTAAATGAGACACCCACAGCTGGAATTCTGTCATGGAGAAAAGGCAGCTGAGCGTCTTCAACCAGAGGAGCTCTGCAAGGGGATTGCTTGAGATAACTCCTTGGTTATTAAGCCCACAGGTGAAAGCAGCCTTTGCAGAAGGACACTAAGCTGTTACCAACCATGACTTCATTTCACAGTTTTAGCTCATGGGTAAGAGAGAAACCCTGATTGCTTAAATGACAAATCTGAGGGTAATGCGTTTTCCCACCAGTCCTTCCTCCCAGTACTACAGGCCAGAGCTTTGCAGCCATCTTCAGGTGGTTCCGTGCTGGAGCTTTGCTACAACAGTGAGAGGTGGCTGTTGCACGGGGCTTCTTCAGAGAGAGCTGGTAGACCTCCCAGTAGGATTTCATGGAAAGCCTTCATGTTTGTTATAGGACCTGGAGGTGTTGTGGGGGTTTTTTGCTACCAAAACTTTTAATGTACACAGAAGCTTGTATTTCTGTAATCAAAGTAAAGGGAAAATATGTTCTGGTTGCTCAGATTTTAGGGGTGGGTTCTGTGGGGTTTTTTGTAGGGGGTAGATGATTAAACCTTAATGCTGAATAAAAAAAAAAAAAAAAACAAACCTGAAAACATTCCCTCCAGAAAACCCACAAACAATACAGAAAAACCCCACAGTCAAGGCAGAAAAGCACTTCTGTCATAAAACAGGTGTTATGCTGTTGTTGTGCTTGTGCGGTAGCCTCGTAGAATATGACTGATTCCTAAATCTGCCAGTTTGTGTTGCAATACGAGTGTCTGGGTCCAAGAGATCGTTACAAACCTAGAAGAGCTGCATCTACTACTCTTGAAGCTTTGCTCAAAATCTTAATGGCTATAAATACAAACATGCTCAAAAAACAGCTAGATAGAGGATGTTATTTACCATGTAACTTGGTCAAGCAGTTCCTTTCTGAAATAAATAAATAAATCTGCAGTTGGAGATAAATTACCAGGCAATTTCTGAAACTTTTTTTTTTCTTTTCTGTTTTATGTACTGTTTTCTTGGTCTGCCACTATATCTGTGCACTGCTTGTTGAACTCTGGCATGACGTAATCATTATTTAGTTCTGAGTTTTGGATTACTTTGTCCAATTTTTTTTTTTTTGTATGCTTTTGGATAGCTCGACTGTGTATGTACTATGGGTTTAATTACTATGATGTCTAGCCCATAATTATCTATGTAGAAGTTGTTGGAGGACCTGTGTAGGTATATGAAACTGATTGCAAGACTGGAGACATAACCTTTAGCAGAAGAAAAAGGTCTTTTTAATGATATCAGTGTGTTTAATCTACATGGGAAAAATGTGAATTATTAATATTTCAAAGGTATTTCTTTAGTCACCTTTAGTGGTAATATCAAAGGCAAAGCTTCAGAGAAAACTGTCGAACAGGGTTTTTTTTTTTCAATAGATAATACTGAGAATTATGGAGCTATACCCTTAAGGCATTGTGTTAATTACTCGTAGAATGTAGCTGTAGTAACAGTGGGGAGAGAGGGAGTGCAGTGACCCAAGCAAAAGCATTTCCCAGTTTCTTCAGGCATGTGGATAAGATGTCCGGTAGTTTTGGCCACTTTCTGCCATTTAACATTTTTTTGCCTTGTGGTATTATAAGCAGAAGTGTTTCATGCTGTTGCATAAGTATTTTTACTAATATATTACCATATATTTCAATTTTATAGAAGGAATAAAGGTGTTTTTGTTCTTATCTGTAAAACAATAATACAGGCATCTGCTCTGTAATTTCTATAATCCTAAATAGGAGGATTTTTACAGGCTGTATCACTGAAATTGCTTGATGCTTAAACAGTATTAGTTTTATTCCATTCACTAATTAATCATGAGTTTGTTTTGACCTTCTGTGGCTAAACTGCTATGAGTTGGGAAGTTCATTGCTGAAGCCTCTTTCCATGTCAGGGCCCTTTATCGATAACTTAACTTCATATGAATGTCACGAGCACCAGGTTATTACGCTGAATTTTTGTGTTTTTAAAATCAGGCTAGCAGTGTTGTCTGACCATTGTTATAGCAGGAAAAAAATCCAAGAAAACGTTTAACACTGGGAGCTTTATGTGATCCTGCTAGATGCCTGAAGACCAACAGCAACGAATTCATTGACCTGGCCAAATGTGTTGCGATTCCGTCTTGCTTCCAGCTTGGGAAGCTGATCTTTCTCTGTAGAAGACTGACTTACAGCTCTGTTCTGTAGTGCTAGGAGCAAATGTTTTGACCTTTTGTTCAGAGAGAATTTCTTCTAGCAGAGTTCCAGAGGGTGGGAGGAGGGAGACAAAGAGAGAGAGTGGAGTATGTTTCAGTAATTAAAGGAATTCTGTTCCCCACTTATTCTAGGTGGGGAAACACTTCTTAAGATTAGCAGAAGAGGAGGATGAAGAACTTAACAATTGCAGTGCGGTTGACTGGTTTATCCTTGCTGCTAAGCAAGGTCGAAGAGAAGCTGTCAAACTGTTGCGTAGATGCCTGGCAGACAGAAGAGGTAGGGATTCTCTGAGACTTTTTGCTTGCACTTCCTACTTCATTTGAAATAATACTATATACATTTTAACTCTGAAAAGAGGCATTAAAATAAGATGGGAATGTTCATGGCAAAATTATGTGAGCAGTTGCTGACAGCATGTTCAAATAGGTAATTTTAAAAGCATTAATTACTGATTCCGCTCATAAAAGCTTTTATAGTAATTATTTGCCTGAATTCCTTCATGGAATTCATGCTCATTCTTCCCCTTCTTACCTTTCTTTGAAGCTTCTTTTCTTTGACCACGAAGGTCATATATAACCATCCTGCATATCTGCTGTTGTTTCATTCTTTTGCCACTCTACAACTTCTCCCCTAATTGGTCTTTTCTGTTGTCTTCTCCCACTTCAAGATTCACATCTTCCTTCATGCTACTTCCCACACTTGGAATGGTCTCCTTTCATCTACCAACTGTCTGAACTCTAATTTGAAGCAAAACAAGAAACAACAACAAAAAAAAAAGCCTTTCATTAAATTCTTGCTGCCTTTTACATGTCATCCATGCATATGTGCACCACCTTTTGCATGAACTACTGTCCTTATAAAGCTGAAGCAAGACATAAGGATAAAGCGTGTCTTGCGCAGTCTAAAAGTACAGTTTAAACTTAAGTAATGCGATTAGGTTTTGATAAGCAATGGACACAGCAGTGCATTTGAGCAATTTGCAGAGGTGGTCAAGATGCAAATGAAACATTGAGGAGTTTCAGACTAAACTGAGAAAAACAAATAGTCAGCAAATCTGTCATTTCTTCATGGGTGTGGGCAAATAGTATCTAATGTATTTTTGTTTTCTTGAGGCATCACTTCTGAGAACGAGCAAGAAGTGAAAAAATTATCATCTGAGACTGATTTGGAGAGAGCTGTGAGGAAAGCTGCCTTAGTCATGTACTGGAAATTAAACCCAAAAAAGAAGAAGCAATTAGCAGTTTCTGAACTACTGGAAAATGTTGGGCAAGTTGACAATGAAGGTTTGTTTATGAACTGGTTTATGGTATTGATAAAATACAGACTTACAGCCAGAATACATCTAGAAACATAAAGGGCTTTATAAACAATCAATTTTGAGACAAAAGTAAATGTATGATCTACTTAAGAAAAATTAACAGTGTTAATGACTCATAACTCCTTTTAATAACTGTGTTCTCTGCACCAATAAAGGTAGTTCAGAAGGGCCTGCCAACTCTTGCTGTAGGTTGTGATTCAATTAAGCACTCATACAGATCACAAAATATTAAAAATATCTTCATTTAACACTTGCTGTCCTTGGAAAATAGATCTCTTATGGCTTTGCTGTGTTTTAACTTCCCCCCCCCCCCATCAGTCATTGTGATGATACTTCACTAGATATTTCAATTTACAAACCCAGTTTTCAAGACGCCTGGCTCACTCCGCTGTTACGGCAGTATGTGTTAGCCATGTCAATGCTGTTCCCTTTTCTAGTATAGTAATGTGAATATGGAAAGCCATATAGCCACTTCTTACCCGTTTACATGTACATTTGTCTTTTCCTGACTTTGAAGAAATACTGTTCTCCAAATATTGCAGCTTAAAGAACATTCCAGTTATTGTTTGATCACTTTAATCGACTGCTTTGACTTTCCATAAACTTTTGTTATTGAACCAGATGGTGAGAAGCAACCTGGCCCGGTCCCAAAGTCGGTGCAGAAGCAGAGAAGAATGCTGGAGCGATTAGTGAGCAGCGAATGTGAGTGCATGCTGCTGCTTTCAATCTTTGCCTGTGGTTCTGGTTTCTATTTTGTTTTGCTAAGCATTTGGTGCTGTCAAGAGTAAGAATGTATAGCAAGCTTGGACAGCTATAGGCTGGTAGTGTCAATTTGTTATATGTGCAAGGTAAATAACCGATCTGCATGTGAACTCAGAAGAGATAACCATTACAGTCGACTTGTCAGTGGTTAGTATACTAAGAGGAGTTTGCATGCTATTTGTCATTTTTATGTTCTTGCCCTTTCAGCACTTACAAGTCCATTCAGCAAAAAATTTTTTGCAATTTCGATATTTTTTTTTTTCAGTTCTGCACTGTGGTAAGCTTTCTGATTACAGTAAGGTAATCAATTATGCAAACATTTAATGCAGACTGATCCCTCATTCTATTTGCCTTGCTCCTGTTTGCCTTCCCTTATAATTAATGTTTGTCTTTTCGTATTTGTTCAAGATTGATATAGGAAAGATGCATGAAGATAGACTTGTCATAACCTAGAAGCAGTTTGGTTCATGTAGTGGGGAGAATTAAACCACTCAACACACATGGCATTAGACTTGTAAACCCAAGTCTGTGAGTTGTGTAAGGTATGGTGCGGATGGGGGCTGGACTTGAAATAAAGTTCTCCCTAGCCCTGCATACCTCAGAAATGCTGCTATGCTGCTGGGCCGTCAGGAGGAAAGTCAAATTGTTAAATTAAGAAAATGCATTATAAACAATGCAGTATGTGTAGCTTTTCAAGAACACTGTCTAACATAAGGTTAATCATTGTTAATCATTGTTGGGAAAACATTTTCTTGAAATGCAGTAGGTCAAATGAAATAGTTCATGTGCAATCTAGATCAGTTATTGAAGACTACTTTTAAATGTCGCAAAGCGTGTTACTTGCTAATAGATCTGTAGCTGAGAATACGTGTAACTAAGGCATCATTTGGGGATTAGTGAGCCAAATCTGGGGATTTGCAGGTTTAAACTCCGTGAAAGATTAGATTTACATTTCATTAGGTCAGTTTGGCCTTTACCTTCAGGGATTGTGTTCATTACGCAGGTGACTTCTGAAAACAACATTCCTAAGAAGAGTAAAACTATTGCAGTTTTATGTTAACTTCCACAGAAGTGTAAGAGGAGGAGGGATGTGTGCCTGTGTATGTGTGTGAGGGAGTAGATGATGGGAGAAATTGTATTTTGGAGGCGAAGCTTCTGATCCTATCAAAACTTCAGTGAGAGTGGGTCAGCTGTTCTTGTGACTAGTTTGCCACTTCTGAAAAGCTAGAAATAGTCCTTCAAGGATACGACTGTTGTGTTTCATGTTCTGGTCGAGGTATCGTAACGCAGGTGTGTCTGGGTTCATTGGAGCTATGCTGCATTGGTGCCTGGTGGACGGCGCTAGCGTTCTTTCCATCCTTTAGCTGAACTGGCACATGCTGATAGAGCGTGAGTGCAAAGCGAGTCATTTTGTTCTGGATTCTTCAGTAATTCAGAGAGTGTCAGAAAAGGAACTGGCAAATTTTAATTTTTTTTTTTTAAGGCTTAAATGGCAGATAAAATAACAGGAGAGTAAATGAACCTACATGTAAGCGTAGGCAGAAATTGATGTGCATATTTTTCTTTTTCTACGGCGAATGGGGGAGGCAGGGGAATTTGTCATAACCAAATTGAAGGAAAAAAAAAATCTATGAATAATAAAGTACAATCTACAACATACGCTTTTTATATCAATTTAAGAGACACTTGGGTGACAAAATACTAATAACATTTAAAACCAAGAAGTTTTCATCAAACACTGAAAGTAGGAGTTAAGCTGTTACCTCTTCTCTAGAGAGCTTTTATCTTTTCATGGGTGCACAAGACAGCTGTTACTCTCCAGCGTTTACTTCTCTGATGCACTGAGCTTCTCTGTATAGCTTGCCAGTAGGAGATTCTTCCTTCAGTTTTAATACCTTGCCAGTACTTGGAAGATAACGTTGAAGTCAGATACGTGTTCGCAGATATCTGATCTGTGGTGTCCTTAGCAGAGGTATAAATGGAAGGTCAGAGCTGACATTGTCAATGGACAGTTGTTGCGTGCCTGAGAGTATACATGCCATTATGTTTGGTAGGCCATCCAAATATAGCAAGTTAATAACCCCTTCCCGTTTAGGATGTCCCGTGATCCTGTGAAAGTACTGTTAAGGAATTTTTGTGAGGTTCTAACTATGTCTGCTTGCTGATTCCACACCAACAAGACTATCTTATCACAGTGTGTTTTGTTCCAATAGGACAATAAATTTAGATGGCATATTTGGTATTAGGCTTGATCTGTACCCCACCGAAGACAGCTAAGGAGTCTCACTTATTTCTTTGTGCAAGCGATGTCACCTTACAGTCTGTGGATGATAAGAATCGTTAGCAAAAATAAATCCTTCCTTGTTTCTTGGGAGGCATGCCAGATGGTATTTGGTGGGACGTACGGGTTCATGCAGTGAGAGGGGGAAAAAAATAGTCCAAGCAAAAGCCAACATCCATGTTGTGAGATTAAAGCTAAAGATGGATTGTGAGCTGCTGTTTTTCTATTGAACTCTTTTAACACCCCTCTTTCTGTAGCAGGTATCTCGACATAAATGCTTTATTTTGTTCTGTATGTACACCGTTTTCAGTATTAAATACTAATACGTTGGTGTATAACTCCTGTAAATGTAGCATTTTTTAAAAACTGAAAAACTAATAGACTCAAATCCACTAGTCCTCTGATTTTAAATTTAGTGAAGCAATTCAGTTTTCTGTCGCTTTAAAATTTCAAACTAGTATTAAGCAGGCCAGCTTTCATATCTTTGTATCAACTGACTGGCTAAACTTACTGTGTAGGAGGCATGTTACAGATTTTTGTCATTCAGAAGTCTTTCATATCTACAGCAATGTCATTTGCTTTAGTGTATGGAAAAAACTTGCTGTTAATTATCCTCCTTTACAAACGGTATCAAGCTTGTCTACCATAGAAACTAGCTAATCCACGCTGATGTAAGGAACTGGCTGTGGAAAGAGTTTGAAGCTGTGTATAAATCATACTCTGTCTTGCAGCATCCCTAGAGTTTTTGGAAGTAACTACTTGCCTCCCTTCTACTTGCAGGAGTGAATAAGGATCTTCCAGGGCTAAGTGATAAATCTTGAATCTGTGTACAACTGAGCAAAGTATATTTTATTGCTAGTTATCTGTTTTAGATCACAGTTGATATAGTTTGGGGGAGGCCCTTTGTATAGCCATGTAGCTTATTAAATTAATACACTGCAAGTATTCTACATGTAGTCTTGTAGGTACAAATAATTGGGTATTTCCCATAATTATGTGTCTGACTTCTGAACTCAGAAAAATGACTGTTAAATGCCAAATCAGTAGTCAGTTTTTCAGTTAATAACATACAGATAATTCGTTACTGTTCTTGTACAATTCTTTCTTTTCAGTTTGGCTGCTAGTTAAAGGTTTCTCTCAAGAAGTTACCAGAGATATAATAGCTTGTAGTTTAAAACTGTGACCTGATCCAGTAGTCTTTTTTTTTCCTTGGAATACTTGCAGATAAGCTACATTCGCTCACTCTGTTCTGCTGCGTGCTGGTATAATGAACTTACCTGCTGTTCTGACAAGATTTAGAGTAGTTGTATGTTGCTGGCACAAGCAGCATACTGTTTTCAGCACAGATCTCAGATCAAGTTGCAAGGTAAGCCTGTGTTATGGGTAGTTCAGTTCTTGAAGCCCAGAGTAGATCTTCTTTAGTAGCAGGAAAGAAAATTAACATTCCGACTCATAATCAGTGTGATGTTGTAGTGATAGTATTTACTCAACCTCTTCATTTTATCTTTCAGCCAAAAAATTTATTGCTTTAGATGACTTTGTTGAAATTACCAAGAAATACGCAAAGGGAATCATCCCATCTAACCTGATTATGCAGGAAGAGGAAGATGATGAATTGGCAGGGAAGACTCCTGAAGAGTTACCCCTGCGACTGAAGGTACGAAGCCGGTGCTGCACAGGTTATGTTGAAGGGCTCTTAACTTACACATTTCAGACAAGACAGAGGTGACTTGCACTTGACTCTCAAAGCTGATGTTTAGTCTGTATAGGTCAGTACATGAACTGTTGCTATAATTTCTTTTTGGACTTGACTTCATATATATGTTTACGATTTCATCTATGTGAACCTTAAATATAAGAGAAAGGGATAATGGTTTTCCCTTGAAGAGAGCAATCTACCCATGTTACATCTCAGTGAGGATTTGAGTGTCCCTATCATAACTGCCATATTTTTATTATAGATGTTATTACATGCTTTGTATCTTTCTTATTTAAACAGGAGCAAGGAGGTGGGGAAAACTATCCATAGCTTTGAGGAGTGGAAAGGTTCTGTTATGAAGGAATTCAAGAATAGTGGAACTTGCTGTTAATGGTTTTCCATACCGATACTTCTCTAGGTAGTGAAAGAAGGGAGAATTAAGGTGCATGCATTTGATACTGGTATAAATTTCAAGCAAGGTAGGGGTTTCTAGCTGCTGACGTGAGAGATTTTGTTGTAATTATTGCCATGTTGTTGTCCATTATCATGTGGTAGGGCTGAAGAAAAAAAAGGGAGGGTGGAGGGGGAGGATGATCTCTTTCCAGCGTTTTGAATAACTAATAATCTGAAAGAGATGCATTTAGAAACAAGAACAGGAGTACCTTCGCTAATAAATAGGCTTATGCCCAAATCATTGTTTGTGTTGCCCCCAGTTCATCACAACACATAGATCTTTGCTGAAGCATTCTTGGCCTTTCCCTTGAATGAATTAATATAAAAGCATGAGTTCTGGGAAAACATAAAAGCTATCTCTTTATGGGGGAAGGAGGATTGTTTGCAGTATCTAATGTGCATATGCAATATTTAAATATGTGTTTGGAAAATCCTGTACCTTTCTATTGATTGTATGCAAAGCGTGTGGCTGGTCATAGGGAGAGGATTCGATCCAGCAGTTCCTCTGTTGTCTGGTGACTGTGGTGGAAAATGCCACGTAAGATAGGTGTAATTTTAAGATCCTGTACAGTTACTGTTGTGGAATTAAAAGAATCCCTAAATATGTAGTAATTGTAGTTAAAAGTATTTTCGCTGCTTACAAACCAGATTTTCACAGCTGCATCCCTAGATGCTTGGGAGGAATTGTTTTAAAGATAAACCACAGCTGTAAAGAATTCCTCTAAGTGCATATGAATTATATGCACTGCTTCCTGTAGTTTATATGCATATCAGTATGCATAGCATAATGCTTGTAGGGCAGTGGCAGAGTTAAGTGCTTTAAAGCTACAGTACTCACAGCTCGAGTAACGACTGAAGATAGTGCAGGACTGCAGCTATATACAGTATGGAGTTAGTGGAGCAGAATATTTGACTAGGAAGCCATTTAATTATGTGTGTCAAAGGTAATGAAATACAGCTTTACTGAAAACAAAATCGCCTCTGAGCTTCATCTGACTAAATTAATCAAAATAGAGGTAATAATATCAGACAAAGTAATCTCATTTTATTGGCAACATTCTTCTGCAATATAAATCTTTTCATGTCAGCTGAGGTTAGACAAATGACTGGTGCTGCTTCAGCTAAGAATATCTGTGATGTAAAGATACAAAACTGCTCATTAATTAAATGCTTCTTTCTCTCTTTCCAGGTTGTAAAATATCCACTTCATGCCATTATGGAAATTAAAGAAAACCTTATAACCATATCAATGCTCTCATCTTTTTCTTCATCATCAGTAATCTGACAATTGATTTTTTTGCCTTCGTTATTCCGTTAGTCATATTCTATTTGTCCTTCATTTCTATGGTGATTTGCACACTCAAAGTTTTTCAGGACAGTAAGGCTTGGGAAAACTTCCGTGCTTTGACTGACTTACTGCTTCGTTTTGAACCAAATCTAGATGTTGAGCAAGCTGAGGTGAACTTTGGATGGAATCACTTAGAGCCGTACATTTATTTTTTACTCTCGGTATTCTTTGTCATTTTTTCCTTCCCTATAGCAAGCAAAGACTGTATACCATGCTCAGAGTTAGCTACTGTCTCAGTTTTCTTCACAGTGACAAGTTACATGAGCTTAAGCACATGTGCAGAACCTTACACACGAAGAGCGCTGATGACCGAGATAGCAGCAGGTTGCTTATCCCTATTGCAGGTGTTACCTGGGAATTTTGGCTTCTTGAAATTCCTAGGTAAAACCTTCTTTACTGTTCCTGTAGGCCATTTCTTTGTGATAAATGTAAGCATCCCATGCCTTCTGTTTTTGTACTTGTTCTATCTTTTCTTTAGAATGGCACAACTGCGGAATTTTAAAGGCACCTACTGCTACCTGGTCCCGTATCTGGTCTGCTTTATGTGGTGCGAACTCTCTGTGGTCATTCTGCAGGAGTCCTCTGGCATCGGGCTCGTTCGTGCATCAATCGGTTACTTTCTGTTCCTCTTTGCGCTCCCGGTGCTGGGTGTAGGCATTGCGCTGATGTGTCTTATCCATTTCATTAAGTGGTTTGTGTCTCTGGAGCTCCTGAAGATTGTAGTGACCCTGGCTTTGTGCACTGTCCCTCTGCTCTTCCGGTGGTGGACAAAAGTTAACTTCTCTGTAGTTGGAATGGTTAAATCCCTGACTCGAAGCTCGATTGTGAAACTCATTCTGGTGTGGATTACAGCTGTGGTGTTGTTCTGTTGGTTCTATGTGTATCGATCAGAGGGAATGAAAGTTTACAACTCTACCTTGACATGGAATCAGTATGCTTTCCTCTGCGGACCCCGGTCGTGGAAGGAGACGAACATGGCACGTACTCAGATCCTGTGTAGTCACCTGGAAGGACACAGAGTGACGTGGACTGGGCGGTTCAAATATGTGCGTGTGACAGAAATCGACAATAGTGCAGAATCTGCAATAAATATGCTTCCATTTTTTATTGGCGATTGGATGAGGTGCTTGTATGGTGAAACCTACCCTCTTTGTGACCCCAAAAATGTTACACTGGAGGAGGAGGAATTGTGTCGTCTCAAGTATTTGACAAAGCATAACTGCCACATGAAAATGTTTGATCGGTACAAATTTGAAATAACTGTGGGCATGCCTTTCAGTAACAAAAATGGAACCAAGGCTATAGAGGAAGATGATATAACCAAAGATATTGTGCTGAAAGCAAGCAATGAGTTTAAAAAAGTGTTGTTGAACTTAAGGCAAGGAAGTATAATTGAATTCAGCACAATTCTGGAGGGTCGTCTTGGCAGTAAATGGCCTGTCTTTGAACTGAAAGCAATCACTTGCTTGAATTGCATGTCTAAGCTCTTACCTGCAGGGAGGCACGTGAAAATAGAGCATGACTGGAGGAGCACAGTGCATAAAGCCATTAAATTTGCTTTTGATTTTTTCTTCTTCCCATTCCTGTCAGCTGTATAATGAGCTCTGATATTGGTTCAGTGGTATCTTAAGTGTACACTGCATTTACACTACCAAAGGTTTGGCTTCTTAAAAGGTTAAAAAAAAAAAACAAAAAACCACCACCTTGCTGTAGCAATGCTCGAACTGTATGCTGATGTAGAGCATTGGTTGAGTTTTCTAAGTGTACACACTGTATCCTGACTTTAAACCCCGTATGACTGAAGGAGTATCTACTAGATTAATATTATAAATGAATGAAGAGGATTGCTGCTGACTAATTGCATGGAGACAATTTTGTCCAAAATGGATATATATTTGCCTGTGGTACAACACTAGATGCATTCACTTGCTCGATGTTAAAAGCACTTTACTCTTTAAATATTCATAACGTGCCCATTTGTATTTTCACAGGTATGGTTTAGAATAGATGACAACAGCTTATGTTGCATATATTGCTTATATTTATTTTGTGTTTTGTAGAAAAAAGTGATCTTATAGTCAGTACTGGTGGTGATAGCTGCATACAGAACTCATTGTTTCCCCATTTTTCCAGAAGATAGTGACTTCAGTGTTTTTTGAAAGGGCACACCAATTCACACCCCAGCAAGGTCATAAAAAGTCCTCAAGCTTCCGTTTTGCAGTAAATATTCTGTACAAAATATGCTATTTGTTCTGATTGTTAGCTATGTATATGACACTAAGGTATAGTCCTTGCTGGGGTGTGAAAGTCAAGCACCAGAGAGTAAGGCTGGTGTTGAGATGGTACCAGTAACGGACAAGCAAAAGCAACTGAAAATAGTATCTAAAAGTCTACAGTGGAAACTGAAATAGTGTGTTGGTGTAATGATTTATATTGTGCAAATAAATACAAAATACAAACTTAAATGAAACGGGTACAACATTTGTCATTGTGCTTTGACATTGTGATCGGTTGTGTGTGTTGTGCTGATCACAGCTTTCACTGAAGAATACAATTTAGAATGTTTAAAACATTCTGATGTGAGGTACTTGAAAATTGTACTTCATGTTATTTAAAGCTGTCAGTAAAATCTGAGTATGCCAGGTGAAGGTTTTGTAGCTGTGTAATCAACACGTACTGCTTACCTCTGCTTTTGTGGTGATGTAGGACCTTTTTTGACCCCTGGATGACTCTGTTTCACAGACACATCAGGCCATTTCCCTGACCACGCCACAGATCCCACGTTAGATTCTTTTTTGCCTTTGCATATCAGTCATCACAGGGGGCGGGGAGCAGTGTTACAAGTGAAAACTCTTGACAGAGAAGGGGGAAATTTTGGGGGGGAAGAGGCGTTTGGCTGCGCCCCAGGCCTGGGCACCCTCTTGAGCGTCGTCCCAGGCTGCAGCTGGGAAGAAGCCGAAGGGGACGGCAGCAGGCAGGCTGCCCTGGTCGCAGGCAGCGAGCCAAGTCTGGCGTCGCAGAGCTGAAGCCTCCACCACCCAAAGCCACGTAGTCCTGTTGGAGCCCGTCAGAAAATCTGTGCAATTGAGCTACGTCTTCCCGGTCCTTCTGGTTTTGAGAACTGTCGGCCAGCTCTCCGTTTCCACCTGGGGAAAAGATACGGCGTAAGGTGGCAGGTAAATGCAAATTTTGACATAGTTTTGCTTACCTGGTCCCTTTTTGGCTGTCAGTATGCCAGACTTAGCCCTTTTTCCTCCTTTTGTTAGAACATCCATAGGCTCTTTTTAAAGATCTAAACATTTTTCCTGGCTCTGAAATTTAAGCACAAAAGATGCAGAATTTTAAAAAACTTTTTTCCTTATATACACATAATTGTGAAGCTTCTATTCATATGTTTGTCAGGAGAAAAAAGGCAACAGCCTTGGTATTCAGAACTAATGTTAAAAATTACGCTGTTTTTAGCTTTTACTCTTTGTAAGGATGTCAATTTACTGACTTACTGTGGTGCATTTTGGAGAAGTTATTACATATCCTGAAAAGGACAAATTGACGGAAGTCAGATGTGGGAAGTCTTCCAAGAAGAGGGAGAATGTTTTATTGATTTCTTTGGAAGGAGTTGCTTTTTAAGATGAGACGACAGGGTTAATCCAGGTACCTCGGTTCCCGTCTGTAATGTAATACCGTTACGAGGCTTAACTCCGACGACTCTGATGCTTCTCCTTCAGTCTTTTCCGAGGCAATTCTTAGGGCAGATTGGCATACAACTTACTACATTTGCAAACGTGGAATTATTAGTTAAAACCGTCTAGTTCCTTGGAGGAGGGGAGCTCCCTCAAGGATATTGATACCAATATTGGTCAGATTCCAAATTAAACAATTCCCCTTCATGTGCTTACGTGAGAAACATTCCCTGAACTAGCTAGATCCTGGGAAAAATAATTTCCATGCTCTGTAGTGACAGGTTGATGGGGACAGCTGAATTTATCAGATGCTTCTTTCCAGCAGAGGTGGAAAGTTTTGAACACTAGCACGTACGAGGCCATTCTTCAT